TGGCGACCCATTTGACTGTGTGGGTGTCTACGCCACAGCCCCCCAGTTTCTTAATGAGAACGGGGTGAGATACAGTGTTGAAAGCCTTCCGGAAGTCCAGGAAGACTATGTCCACTGCTACCCCTGCATCTAATGATCTGGTAATCTGATCGTAAAAGGCCACCAGGTTGGTCTGACAGGACCTGCCACTGATGAACCCGTGTTGGTTGCCCCTAAGCATGCAGTCCCCTGCTGGCCCCTCCTGGATGTGTGCCAGAATAATTTTCTCCAACAGCTTGCCTAGGATCGAGGTAAGACTATCTGGCCTATAGGTTCCCGGGTCCTCCTTCCTCCCTTTTTTGAAGATGGGAACCACGTCGGCCCTCTTCCAGTCCTCCAGTACCTCCAGTCCTCTGGTACCATATGTATGTAACGATAGCAGTTGAAAAGGCGCAATCAGGGTATGTTGTGCTGGGTGCTGTACAAGCATAGAACAGAAAAGCTCTGTCCTTACCATATTGTTTGTGAGGCAAACATGATGCAGAGATCAACAGATAATTTCAGATGAAAAATAATCAAATTAAAAATCACAAGGGCAACAGACAGGAGTAACCCTTGGAGTAGTCAGATACAACAGTGATAGTTAAAGCAAAAAGAAACCTGAGACTGGTACTGATGCTACACTTTGCAGTAAGTAAGAAGCCAGCACTTTGGGAACTAGAGTAAAAGGGGCTTCATTGACTCAGGACTACAAAAAAAAAATCTATAGGAATAACCCAGGAACCACCTTTTCTCATCATCTCAAACTCTCCATCTTATGTACCAGTGACTTTCTTGACAGAAGTCATGACAGATGTTTTACAGTAAAATTTTTCAAAGAACCCCTGTATCAGCCAACAAAGAAGTCCTTTCTGCTTTGGGGATTAATGAATATACAGTGTGGAGCACTGCTATTACGAGTCTTCTCCTAAGACCAGCTATTAAGACACGAAGGCCCTGCCTACTGTAGGACAAATATATTTAAAAAAAATGAGCTAAGCAGCACATTTTAAAAAACTGTTTGGTGAAATTTTGACCTTACTGAGGTCAATGCCAAAATTCCCAATGACTTCAGTGGGCTAGGATTTCACCCCTAGAGGGCAAAGGAATGAATGCACCTCACTGCCACAGTGAAAGCCAGAAATCAAAACTCCTACCACACCTTTCCCCTACCTTGTGGACATACCCAAAAAGGAGCATTCATGCAGGAATCAACAGAGGCCAGGGAACCAGCATACACAGCAACAACCAGTTCATTATGGCTACAGACCCAAAGAAGCTAAGAACAGTTTAACTGCAAGACGAGATCAAGGCAAACATGGTTCAAGCAAGCTTAGACCTATCCAAATATTTTTTTAAACTGTATCAAAATATTTACATCATATCCTTCATAGCAGGACTTGAGGCACTTTCCCACAGGAAACCCTTTTAGAAGTCAAATTTTGTCACTTTAAGGGTGCGAAACTAGAATGCTAATACAAAAGTTGTATAACAACCAAAATTATTAAGTCTTCCTATTGTATCTAAGGATTTCAGCATTGTTCACATATTTCAATCATTTCCCATTACCTTTGACAGTGTGCTAAAGTCAGCAAAACCACTTCCAAATGATTCATTTCCAAACAGAGAGGCAAAGGGATCTGCAGCTAAAATAAGAAAACGAACAAACAGAACAGGATAGAATCAAACAGTACATTGTTTTTCAGAGACTAAACCAACATAGTCAGCCTAAATCAGAATGTTTTAGTTGTATAATCATATAAAAAGATTACAAGGTATGACATAATCCGAATTACATATTGATTATTCCAAGTGAATTAAAAAAAAGATGATTGTACTGGTTTCATTGTCATAGGAAATATTTTTACTTTACTAAAAATAGCAAATGCTCTTTACTAATTCAGAATAATTGTTCCTCTGAAAAGGTAGGTTTTTAGATAATAGCACTGAGATGCTGCACTTTTCTTCACAAATGGAACAGAGAAGCTGTCTCTTAAATGACAGTATGCAAACAAGGAGCATCAGTAAACTAAGCAGATTACAGTCTGCTACAAAATATTTTAAGATAAAAAACTGGGATAAATAGAGGGGTTTTTTTAAAAAAAAAAGAAACTTTCAATGATTGTTTTAACCATGGGGAATCAAACTCATCCTCATTATCATTCACCCTGAATCTCTTGATCCTTTTGGATCGAGTTTCCTTTTCACAACTAGGTGGGTTCAAACTATCCAAATGTTTTTTTTTTTTCCAAGGTAGCACAAGATGTAATATCTCTTTGCACATACCTACATACATGCTTCCCAGAAAAAGCATACATTTGCTGCGATTAAAATGGACTACCTTATTAAAAAACATAGCTCTAGATGCAATCCCTTTTTCCCTTTCCTGGCTGATATATTACATCAAGTGCCACAACTCAGATCATGATACCTGAGCTCCCTGAGGTCAGACTGAATACTGTCTTCACTAAGGCAGTCCACATTTACATACGCTTCTAGACAATGGCCCTGTTTTCTCATTAAGGTGTTCACATAATTAAACATATTGATTATTATTTTTCCTGGATATGTTGTGAAACTTTCTTCTTCATACTGTAAGAGGTTTAATACATCTAATCTTGCTTTACCAGGATCATTTTGCGCAGTAATGGCCGTTCCACCAGGAGCAAAAGGATCATTGTTCTTCGGTGTTTCTGCCTACAACAGAAAACACATTTAAGGGAGACTTGGATTCTTTACATCTATACCACCCTAAAAAAATAACAGAGCTTTACCTCAGCACAAATTCTCATGCCAGCTGATCACTGCAACATTATCATTTTATCTTTCAAAGTATGGGAACCCCCTCAAGTATTAATGACTTATTTCAGAGATGAGCAAACCGAGGCAGAGAGGACTGGTGACCAACAAGAGCATACAGCAAGTTTGTGACAGAGGTGGAAGTAGAACCTAGATGAGAATGACTAATTCTTCTTATCTGTTAAGCATCTGATCGATGCTTCCTCTATAACCGGCCTTTCAGTGTTGACTTCCAGTTCCCAGTTTTAGCTACTAGATCATATTTTCCGTGTTATTTACTGACTGTGTTGAGGATGGAAAGAGAAAGTTTAGAACTTGTAAAATCAGAGCCCTGAATGAATAGGACACTTGCATCCCACGGAACAACAAAGCTCCACAGAAAAGCAAGTTATATCCTTGCAAAGTTTAAGACTGGTTCTTCAGGCCTATGTACCATAGAAATGGGTTCTGGTCTGCATAACCTCAAGGAAACATGTGGCAGTTTGTTTCCTAGGTGTTTGAATTAACTGAAGCTAACAAAATGGAGGATGTAACTCAGAATTTTTAGCAGAGTTCAACTTACAATTTTTTGGTTTTCCAAAAAAACCAACAAGTTAACCTTGAAAATGGCGTTTTATGTTTGTCCTAATTTTCCTGTATAATAAAGGGCTTAGTCCGTCTGTCCATAATGCTCTTGGAGCACTCTGACTGGTTAGTGAAACAACCAGAGTGCAGAGCACTGCCATGATGGCAGAGACAGAGTAAGGGGGCAAAGCCAGCGTGCAGCTATCCACCACCCTGTGCCACCTCGGGGGGGGGGAGTGAAAGCTTGCCCCACCATCGCCTCTGTGTC